ATGTGTTTTTTTAAAAGAATCTTTCTCCCTCGCGAAATACCTCAGTCCACAAACTCTAACTATTCTCTCTGCCTCTCGACATTCACCTTCACCACCCTCGATCTCCGGCCATCGCCCGCTCCCGTCTCTGACCATCATCGTCGCCGCTCCCGTCTCTGACTAAACTTATTGAATTTGGTCGGTTTATGTATCTTGTTGACATTTACWATGACACTATTTTGGTATTTATTTTTTAAACTATGTTTACTATATAAATTTATGCACTATATATATAATTTTCATTTATTTATTAAGGTGCGTCTCGCTTCACTCAGGCGTCGCCTTTGTATCGCCTCTCGCCTSAAGGCGATCAAAGGGCTTGTCGTCTTGAGGTGCGCCTTGCGCCTCGAAAACACTGGTGGATAGTAGGTTTTATTCTTTCCATTCCTTCGGCATCAATGTGCTCCAATGAAAGAGATAAGACCCTTTCCTGAACCAGAACCGGGCACAGAACACCGAGGTAGAAAGTCGAAAGCGAGCTCTTTTCGCCGGAAAAAAAATCCAGGATGACGGCTATCAAAAGACGAGTAAGGGACGGGGAGGGGAAGCTCTCGAAACCAAACGAGAAAGYCTGGTCTTGACTCTTCTGTGTGGTATCCATTTTCGTTCGGCTCTCAAAATCACATCCACTGAGCCGTGAGAGAAAGTGTGTGGCTGAACAAGGCCACCGAACATTGGCGTTGAGACAATACAGCTCCCTAACCATAGCCATATGCGTCTGTTTCAATCACAAAAGGAATACTAAAATCGGGGAGCGTTAGAACAGGAAGAGTTACCATCGCTTCCTTAAGCCTCTCAAAAGCCTGCGTAGCTTGGTCATTCCAGACGAAAGATTCCTTTTTAAGCAATYGAGTCAGGGGAGCAGCTAGGGTGCCATAGTTTTCCACAAATCTTATATAATACCCGGTAAGTCCCAAAAACCCCCACAACTCTTTCAAATTCGTTGGTTGTGGCCACTGCAACATTGCCCTCACCTTTTCAGGATCAGCCTCCACCCCTTAAGCTGAGATCCAGTGTCCCAAATATTCGATCTCCACCCCTTAAGCTGAGATCCAGTGTCCCAAATATTCGATCTTGACACTATTCGATCTTATCTTGCACGAAGCTGCATTTCTTCAAGTTGGCAAACAAGCCATTCTCTTATTCATAAGGGACTGGAACGTTGATAGCGCGGTGGTCAAACCGAAAGGCATAACCAAGAATTYGTAATGCCCATCATGTGTCTGAAAGGCTRTTTTTGGTACATCCACCTCARCCACTCTGATTTGGTGATATCTAGACCTAAGATCAATCTTTGAATATACCCGGGACCCATGTAATTCATCCAACAACTCTTCAATAACTGGTATAGGGAACTTATCTGGTACGTGGCGTTGTTCAAAGCCCTGTAATCGACACCAAACCTCCAACTCCCATCTTTTTTCTTCACTAATATCACAGGACTTGAATAAGGACTGATGCTCGGACGTATGATGCCCGCAGTCAACATTTTGCCACCAACCGCTCGATCTCAGCCTTCTGGGCATGGGCATATCTATACAGCCTCACATTCACCAGCTGTTCACCTTCTTTCAACTGAATTCGATGGTCGATGGCCCGTATTGGAGGTAATCCTTCGGCTCACGAAAAACCGCACCATATTCTACCAACAGCTCCTTCACCCGTGCTAGTAATGCAGCATGTTGAACTGCATTAATATTCTCCTGTTCTATCTCCATGGTAGTCATGACTCTGAGCTCGATCAAAAATCCTTGATCATCACTTTCCCAAGTCCGTGACAACCGTTTGAAAGTGACTTCCTTTTGAGTTAGAGATGGGTCACCCTTMAATTGGATCTTCCACCTATCCTTCTTAAAAGTCATTAGCAATGCTAGCCAATCAACCTTCATCGTTCCCATCCRTTTCAACCACTGCATACCCAGAACGACATCTAAACTTCCCAATTCAAGTGGCAGAAAGTCCTCCTTCACCGTTAATTTTGGTAGTTCCAACACCACCCCGCAGCATATTCCCTTCCCTTTCACTGCCAGTCTCGTCCCCATGATCACCCCATAGCTGGTCGTCTCGGAACAGGGAAGCTTCAATTCTTCCGATAAGGAATGGGCAATGAAATTATGAGTCGCACCGCAGTCAATGAGGATCACAACCTCACGCCCTTGTATTGCCCCTTTCAGCTTCATGGTCCCGGGTGTGGTAAACCCCGCGACCGTGTTCAACGCTACAAATTCAACAGCTTTGCCCTTCTCATCAATCGGTGCAATTACTTCCTCCACTACCCCGTGAAGCTCTCCGTCTTCCCCGTTGTTGTGCACCACATAAACTCGTAGCTRCGGATTTCTACATAATTACATTTGTGCCCAATTGAGTACTCTCCACAACGAAAGCAAAGGCCCTTCTCTTTCTGTTTCTGATATTCAGCCTCCGTCAGACATTTCTGAGTAGGTCCGATAATAGCCCACGGTGCAGGCGCAATAGGAACTCCCTTGCTCGCGATGGTCACCGTTCAAGTAGGAACAGATTCAGATGCTTTGGGTATGACTTTCGAAGAAGGAAGCGTCGTGTTCATAACAATTCGCCCCTGGTCCGGTTCCGCCGCTTCAAGAGTGGCTACACTAATGTCCTCCACAAGTTGGGCCCTTCGCATAATCTCATCCAGCCCATTGGGCTCCATAGCCCACTCAGCCCGTACTACCGAATCCAGACCATTCAAATAGGCAATCTCCAATACCTCATCGGAAATCTAGGGAAGCGACGACGCCAAAGCTTCGAACTGTTCTTGATATGCTATCATCGTGCTCTCTTGCTTAATCGAAAGCAACTGTGTGCAAAGTTTCCCAAATTTGTACGATCAAAATCGTCGATACATCCTTCGCTTGAGATCATCCCAACTGGTAAACCGCTGTCGGCACTGAAACCACGCTAAGGCTATACCTTCAAAACTGATAACCGYCACTGTCAATTTCTCTTCATCAGTTAACCTGTGGATGTCAAAGTATCATTCGGCCCGAAAGAACCACGAATCAGGATCAGTGCCCGTGAAAAATCGACATTTCTACTTTCTTGGATTTGCTCTAATCACCATCGAAATCAGGAACTTCGACAATTTTTGTCTCTCCCGTAAGTCCTTTCTGACGTCTCGTGGATGCCTCCCCAATTGTCATAGTGTGCGGCCCTATTTTTCCCTCAATAATATCCATCATAACCTGACCCATCGCCTTCTGTTCAGCCATGAACGCCTCTAAAGCTTTCTGATTCATATCAACCTGTTCACTGAAGCCCAACATCAACTCCTTCAACCCAGAAACCTCCACTTCAGTAGCCTCGCACCGCTCCTCCAATCGTTTCTACGTCATCTTACTGAATCCCCCCAAGATGGAATGCTCTGATACCAATTTGTAAGGAAACTCCTTACAAGTTCTTGGAATTCAAATGCAAAACAAGAAMAGAAATTACAAAAGTAGTTCTATTCAGTCAATTCGAGAGGGCTGGTAACTCTCCCCACCATATAACCATTTTACATAAAACACAAGACAAACTTCCCTTCTAACTCCTAACACCCTTTATCCCATTTCTCCTTCTCTCTCTTCCAACCGAAGATCCCACACATAACTAACTTAATGTGAAATTCCCTCCTTACCCCTCCTGGCATACACATTTACAATTGGAGGCCTTACAGATGTATCTTCAAAATGAGCGGAAGCTGGTGGGCTGGGCTTTGGAAGTCTAAAGGTGATCAGTTCGAACTTGCCAAATGGAGCTGGAGATTCTGTAATGAACAAAGTGTTATTTGGTATCAAATAATTTCAAGCATTGGTCTTGAATCTTTCAGTTGGCTTAAAATTGTCAAGTAGAATGCTTGTTTGAGAAGTCCTTCGGTCAATATTTTGACGGTGAGAACTTGTTGATGATTTAGCAACTTACAAACTTGAAAATGATATTCGAATTTCCTTTTGGAATAATGTTTGGCTGGATTCATCAACTTTTTCTCATAATTATCTGCTGCTTTATAGAGAGGTTTTGCATCCACATGGTTCTGTTTCTGATTATTGGGATGTCTCAACGAATTCTAGGAAGATTTATATCAGAAGAAATCTGAAGGAGGAAGAAATTGAAGAGTTTGGTGCCTTGTTAGCATGGCTGAATCCAGTACGTGGGAGGTGATAATGTTATATAGAAGGTTGATCGTCCGCCATACAACAAATGAGTGCTAATGAATGATAAAGTCGGAACCCACATCAGAAAATTTTGCACGGAACATAATCAACTCCCACTGTAAAAGTAGTTCTTAAATTCCACACCCTGACAAAATGTTTAATTTTTTTTTCAACTGTAAAATTTTCTTTTTCTTCATCAAAAAATTTTACAATTTCCATCATTAATCTCACAAGGATAACAATAATAAATCAAGACGTCTCTATGATTGTTCATTTGGTCCACATTCAAAGGATATATAGATATAGAGCTTGGAAAAGCTTAATTTGTGAATCTGCAATCTTTCATGACATGATATGCTTTTCCTTTTCAATATTTCTGAATCTTCATGCTCATCTATGTTTGTAATCGTGTTTATGAAATTAAACCCAAAAATCAGTAAAGACAATCAAGTAGCCTACTTCCTTGAGAAAGCAAACACGAACTTGTACTCAACGATCTCTATATCCTTTATCACAGTTTGCATCTTATGACAGGCTCTCAAGTAAGTTAAAATGCTTTCTGGTTAACCTCGCTAATATAAATATTCCAAAAGAATTGTGCTGAAGCTGTACAACATGAATGTCATATCATAGTTTAAAATTTAATTTAATTAATTTGCAATTGATTAAATTAAACATTCAAAATTAAAGAAGGGAAAAAGGAGAAATGAACAGTTTCTCCCTGTAAACCCCTTTTTACTATATTATAAATTATATATCATAGATTACAAGACTTGGAGAAAGGATATGGAAGTAGTCTGTAGTCACCTCAATAGTCAGTGAATGTTCTGAAATATCCACAGTTTTTCCTCTGAAGATGTCTACTAACCACATTATCTGAGGATTAAAACAAGAGAGAGGCGTTATAATTGAAGATGAAGTAATGGAAATTGAAAGTTTTCATAATCCTCAACAAAATTAATGACAAGATCAACATGGTTATACTTAAAATATTTAAGCTTTTAGCTGATAATAAAATTAGAAGTTTGATGTGTAAACTATAAGAACTTTTACTTTGATGGTGAAAGTTGGCAATTTCTCATAAAATATTTTGTCAAATTATTGTACAGCTGTATTTTTAGGATTTTTTTTTTTTGGTTATTTGTAATTAGTTGCTGATTTCTAGGAGATTGGACAGTTGATATTTTCTCCTTTTATGTCATATCTTTTCAAGTTAGTTCTATATTTTTTTTTTTAATAAAAGACAGACTTTTCATKGATGAAATGAAAAGGAACAAGAATGGTTCAAAGAAACAAACTCTCGAAAGAGTGAAAGGAAAACATAAAAATCATAAAGATACAAAGACAGAATCTAAAAATCAAAGCTACTCTAGCCTCATAAAAGCATCCCAATCGTTAAAAATAAGAGAAGGGRAGTAATGAGAAAATGAATCAGAAGGATAACACCAATAGGATGCTTTGAACTTGGCTGATGTGAGACAATTGAATAAAGATCGTTTACTCTTGAAAATCTGCAAATTCCTCTCAAACCAGATTTCCGAAATGAAACTGTTTACTGCATTAATCCATAAAATTCGAGCCATGGAGGAGAGATGTAAGGGTCCACAAAGCAGTTGAACCAAGTTCAAGTTGGCTTCAGCCTTCAAATCAAAAGCCCAATCAATTTTGACCTGACCAAATAGAGAGAACCAACCTGGAGTCCCAAAAGAACATTGAAAGAAGAGATGATCAAGATCTTCCCCACTAGATTCACAGAGAACACAAAAAAACGAAAGAGAACACAAAAAAACAGAAGCAAAGAGGCTGAAGGAAGCTTCTTTTGGATTATATCAGCAGTATATAACTTCCCATTTGGCAGAATCCAAGTAAAAATATTAACTTTCCTTGGAGTTCTAGATTTTCGTAAGGCTGCAAAAATATCTTGAAGAATCGAAGAGGATTTATGCAATCTGCAAACAGAGCTTACAGCAAACACCTCTGAAGGATCAATAGTCCATATTCTTTGGTCCTCACCATGAGTAATCGAGATCAAACCAATCACATTCAAGAGCCCAGCAAAATCTTGTAACTCATCTTTCTCAAAGTCTCCTTTTCTTAATACAATGTTCCATGAGCCCGTGGCTGTGTCGCAAAAATCTGAAGCTGAACCATGAGGGAATATGGAAAGTTTTAACAACTTAGAAAAACTTTCCTTTAAGGGACTGTGAGTCGTCCAAATAAAGTGCCAAAAAGAAACCCCACTGCCGCAACAAATTTTTAAGGATACAAAAACCTCAACACACCTCCATTGTGCAGAAATACTCTTCCAYGGATGCCGAGAACCCCCAATTAGCCTTGAAACCGTAAACCAGCCATGAGGCTCAGAACCATATATGCTTTCCACCACCTGCCACCACAGAGACATAGGCTCACAAAAAAACCACCAGCCCCATTTGGCGAGAAGAGCATCATTTCTTCTTGAAAGACCACCAATGCCTAGTCCGCCRTCTTCCAAACAGAGAGAGGTAACTTTCCAATTGACCAAATGCTTTAAATGCCCCTTGGAATTACCCTCCCATAAAAAGTCCCTCGTGGATTTCTCAAGCTGCTTATCAATATCTGTCGGCACATGAAATATGGACATATGATAGGAAGGAAGATTAGCCAAAACTAGATTACACAAAGTCAATCTACCTCCGCAAGAAAGATTGAACCGCCTCCACCTATCCAACTTCTTGCCAACCTTTTCAAGAACAGGCCACCGAAAATCAAAATGCTTTGGACTGCACCCTAAGAGAAGACCAAGGTACATAATTGGAAAAGATCCCATTTGACACTTTAGCGAAAAAGCTGTCAGTTGGACACGTTGGGACGGAATATTCACCCTGCTCAATGATGATTCATCCCAATTAACAAAGAGACCCGAGAGCCATTCAAGGGCTTTGATATTTTTTATTAAATTAAGGAGAATAGCATCGTCATCCTTACAAAATACCAACGTATCATTAGCAAATGGTAGGTGAGATAGATGAAAAGCATTGCAACCTACCAAAAAGCCTTCAAAAGATCCACAAGCATGAATGCTATCCAGTTAGTTCTCCATTGTAATTTTTTTTTTATAAGAAACGAACTTTTCATTAAGACGAATGAAAAAAGAAGCATATACAAATGGCATACAAAAACAAAAGCCCAAAAGGAGCCCAACTAAAGAAAGGGCTTCCAATCCAAAAGAATAGACATTTCGAAASAGAACTCCACAAAGAGACATTTAGTCTGATAAGATCCCAAACCAACTCTCCATTTCTCTCCACCCCTAAAAATTCTATTGTTCTCTATTGTAATTGTTATTTACAACTATCTTGTGTACCTTTTCAATACAATAAGAAATTGAATTGATTTGTCATCGTATCAAAGCCTTATCTCACCTTTCCTTCTTCTTCAAGAACCTCATCATTTTAACAAATTGAACCTAATCCTACTTGTGCTCAAAATTGACCTTGACGACCATTTCTTTTTAGCATCAGAAGATGTCTCTTCAAGACCATCTATCCATAATACTACTGCACCATTACAGGTTTATTCAAAGAGAAATAATGGTCAAATTGAGCAAATCCAAGAGCTGCACACCTCAAAAGGCTTACGCCTCAAACAATTTTTAAAACATCTTATGACAATAAGTTGGCAATCAGCATGCTCATAATCCAATTAAACATGGTCAAACCAAGCATATTGAGGTTGATAGACATTTTATCAAAGAGAAGTTAGATAGCAGCCTTATATGTACAGTGTACTCTTTTTGTACTGACCAACAGTGAAATAATAGATATTCTCACAAAAGGATTGAACAGTACCAGCTTTGAAGATTTTGTTAGCACGCTGGGAATGGAAAACATCCATTCACCAGCTTGAGAAGGAGTGTCAAATTATTGTACAGTTGTATCTTCCGGATATTATTTATTCTTTTTTTGATTATTTGTAATTAGTTGCTGATTTCTAGGAGATTGATAGGGCACTTGATATTTTCTCCTGTTATGTCATATATTTCCAAGTTAGTTCTCTAATTGTAATTGTTATTTAGACCTATCTTGTATACTTTTTCAATACAATAAGAAATTTCAGTGATTTGTAATGTTTAAATGCTTGGTAAAGTGAGGTATGTTAAGGGTACCGGGTATAGCATCACTTCACTAAAACATGTTCACTGAAGCCTCAGTATTAGAAACAGGCAAGAGTGCATCAAAATTTCAGCATTTCAAACAAATTCCAATTTTAAAATTTTTTTTTATAAGAAACCGAACTTTTCATTGAGAAGAATGAAAACAAAACAGAAAAACAAGGGCATACAAGGACATACAAAAACACAGCCCCAAAAAAGGGAGCCAACCTAGAGAAAGGGCTTGCAATCCAAAAGAATATGACCTACCTGATAATTACAAAATAAATTCGAAACGAACCCCATAAAGAGACATTAAACCTTATGAGGTCCCAAACAAACTCCCACTCTCATTCCATCCCTTTAAAGATTCTATTGTTTCTTTCCCCCCAAATTCCCCACAAAATCCCAAAGAACCCAACCCGCCGAAGGAATCTCCCTTTCTTGCGGAAAGGGGAGTACAATAGCACTTCCTCCACCATCGACACCCACTCTTTTTGACGAGCCCAAGAAAATTCAAAAATCTCAAAGAACCGGCCCCAAATGTTCTAGGAAACCTGGCACTGCCATAAAATATGATCAAGGTCCTCAGAATCCCACTTACAAAGAACGCACCAATGCGGATTCCAATTTTAAAATTTACTAACAAAAGTGCCATACACCTACCTATTAAGGCCCCATAAGTACAGAATATAATATTAACCAGGAAAAGCAGATTTTTTAGATGCCAATCTTCTTTTTTTTCAATGAGAAACTGAGCATTTCATTATCAAAGAGAATAAGCTACCAGATAGGGGAAAAGTAACCAGCCAATGGGTACCAAAAATATTTCCAATTTGCGCTAAAATTCACTAAGTTGTAGTTACAAAAAATCTTTTCCAAGCGGGGAATGTAATATCTAAAAAGGTCGTCACATAAAGAAACAGGAATTAGAATTTAAAAGCTTTTTTCTTCTTCATAACAAAAATTTTCTTTCCATCATTCATWTCAGAAGCCAATAAAAAAAATAATGCAAAACGTCACCTCAGCACGAGTACTTGGATCTGCATTGAGTTTCATAAGCACCAACTCACGTTCTACTTGGGGCTCTCTTGAGATATCTTCCACCTGATAAATTGAAATATCTAAGTTCAGAGGTACAAGAAATAGAAGCATGGTGGCTACTTATTCATTTTTCACTAGTATTTTATTCTTAGGTTCAAGATAACTAATTTATTACAAGCCTCAAATTGGACCATGTTAATGTTAATTTTTCCATGAACCTCCTCAATTATTTCTCCTAAGAAACTACCCTACTTCCAAACACCATTAATGTCTTATTAAATTGAACCATGTTGATGTCAATAATCCATGTCGGTGTGAATCTCCTTCCTGAAATCTTCGTAATTGGAGTTATCAACCTCTCTTGGTGGCAACCATTGCCATGCAAGAACTTCACTCTCATACCAAAAGATAAACCAAACATTAAATAATCTTGAAAAACACGGTCAATATGAAAAGTAGTGGTTACAGAAACAGAGCATCATATTGACAGGTTGCGTACCAACCAATCAGTGGTTAACCAAGGCTAACAAATATACCTAGTAACTAGAAGAGGTCACTAATGCAATGACTAAAAAGCTAGAAATAACCAAGATATAGAGAGTAAGCTTGGTATCAAACCATCTGAACCCAGTGCTTTTGACTTTCCCGAGCTTTTTATTGTCTGGCTTCATTTTCCTAAAAAGGTATTTTCAGCCAGCATTGATCAGATACATTGATAGGGTGTCTCCAATTGATGCCTTCTGGAAACATACCTTTGATTATCTTAAACTTCTATAGTCCTCTGTTTTTCTGGTGTAACCACTTATGAAGGAAATATGGATGGTATTAGATGATCCCAAAAGATACAAATGGCCCCTTATTTATAGAGGAAGCCACAAAGGGGAAATAACAAACTAACTTAAGTAAAGTTAACTACTTGTTAGCTACATCAACTTCCCTCCTCCTTAAAAAAAACTCGACCACGAGTTAAGATGCTAAAGAAAAAGAGTCTGGTGCTGCATATGGATAGATGTCAGAGATATTGAAGATAGGGTTGATGTTGAAATCGGGAGGTAGTTGTATTTTGTATGCATTCAGTCCATAATTCTTTAATACTTCAAAAGGACCAAATTTTTTCTTCTGTAACTTGTGAGCAGATCCAGCTGGTAATCTTCCTTTAGTTATGTGTATCATGACTAGATCTCCTTACTTGAACTCCTGGACCCTTCTTTTAGTATTCGCCTGCAATTTGTACTTTGAATTGGATGCCTCAACGTGTTCTCGAACCTCCTTATGCAGTTGATTGATTCTTTCGGCCATCTACCCGCTTCGACACTAACATCAATAGAAAGAGGTATGTTAGCTAGGTCCATGGTTAACCTTGGCAAATTAGTATAAACAACTTCAAAGGGAAGGCAAATTAGTATAAACAACTTCAAAGGGGGACTTCCCTGTTGTTCTATTTTGCATGTGGTTGAAGGCAAATTCAGCTTGTGCAAGAGCTAAATCCCATTGTTTTGGTCTGTCGCTGCAAATGCACCATATAAGGTTGCCAAGAATCCTATTTGTCACTTCCATCATGTTGCTACCAATGTAAGGGTTTTATCACGGCCAAAATGGCCAGCCAATCCTCCTGGATCTTTGATTAACGCTTCTCTTAAAAAAGTTCTGAGGAATGCAAAGTTGATTGCCTTTAAAAAGAAACTCATCGAGGRTGTGAAAATCCCCTGTATTTTTGTGCTTGCTKACATTKAGTCCATATAGTGTCAAAATCAGTATCCTTTTGATAAGTTGTGGGTAGGGAAGAGAAGGCAGTGATTTCTCCTTGTGGGATAGTGAGCAAAGAACCTTTTCTACTAAGGGCATCCGCGGCCTTGTTTAGAGTGTCATTCTTATGTTTTTTTTTAGATAAGAAAATTGATATATAGAAAAAAGCATAGACAAAAGACAGCCTAAGGGCAAGGGAAAGAGGGCTCCCCTCCCAAAAAACTAGTGAAGTAAAGCACTCCAATCTTGCATAATCGACGAGAGGTTGTAATTACAAAAGAATTTTCTATGTCTATAGCACCACCAAGAAGTGTGTAACTGTACTGTATTACAAAAAATTTCTAACGTAAAGGACTTATCTTCAAAAATTCTATTATTTCTTTCCATCCAAAGGTTCCAAATAAGGGCTCTAGCAGCACAATTCCATAGAATTTTTGCTTTCCCTTTAAAATGCCACCCCCGAAGAGCTTCATTTATCTACCCATCAATATTCTGAGGCAAGCAAGTGGAATACCCAAAGATTTGCAGCAGAAAGAACCACCCACGAAGGGCAAACTGGCAATGAAGGAAAATATGATCCATGGTTTCCTCATTCTGATTGCAAAGAACACAAATGGAAGGAGAAAGAGCCCAATTTGGGCATCTTTCCTAGAGCCTATCTGCTGTGTTTACAGCACGGTTGGCTAAGGTCCAAAGGAAAACTTTCACCTTCTTTGGAACAGAGAATTTCCAAAGAAGAGAAGTTAAAAGGGAGTTCATAATTGGGGAATCTTCACACAAAATTTTTAACCCCGATTTAACTGTGCAGAGGAATCAAGAGACCAAACCACTTTGTCAACTCCTTCCCCAATTCGAATGGTGTCCAGCCTGCTCATAATATCAATYCAGCCCCTAACTTCGCTATCAAGCAGACCCCTTCTTGTGCCTAGGTCCCAAGCTAGTTGTTCTTCTTTCCAACAATCAACAATCGTGGCCTCCTTTTTCAAAGATAAAATGAAAATTTCAGGAAAATCATGGACAAGAGTAGTGTTCCCCGTCCATYTGTYTAACCAAAAACAGATTTTGTCACCATGTTTAGCTTTGAAAGATAGAAATTTAAGGAAAAGGATGTTGTTCTTTGCTATATCAAACCAAGGCTTACTAGCCGCTTTCCCCTTGGGCTTTTTAGCCGTCCACCCAAGAGGTTCTAACCCATAAATACTTTCAATTACTCTTCTCCGAAGGGCATCTCCCTCTTGGGTAAACCTCCACAACCATTTCAAAAGAAGCGCATTATTTCGAAGATGGAAGGCCCCTATACCAAGACCTCCTTTTGTCAAGGGTAACGACGTGGTATCCCAGTTAACCAGATTTCTGTGAGGGTGTAATTTGTCTGACTTCCAGAAAAAATGTCTCACAAGCTTGTCTATCTGTTTAGCAATACCAATAGGAGCTTTCAAAAGCGAAAGGTAATATATGGGCATACTATTCAACACTGCTTGGGCTAGCGTCAACCTTCCTCCTTTTGAAAGGACTAGCTTGTGCCATTTATCAAGTTTTTGCTTCAATTTTTCCAACAGAGGCTGCCACAGACCTATGGCTTTGAAGTTTCCCCCAAGAGGGAGACCCAGATAAGAGAAAGGAAAATCTTCCACTCTACAACCCAAGCTTAGGGCTTTTTATTCAGCCTATCGTCATTGATGTTTAAGCCAATCAGGGAGGTCTTATTTAGGTTTAAAGAGAGACCCGAAGCCCTAAGGAACCAATTAACTACAATCCACCATTTGAACAAAAGACCTTTCTCATCAGGACAAAACAAAAGTGTATCATCAGCATATTGCAAGTGGGATATCATCACCATTTTTCCTCCCACCTCAAAGCCTTTGATCATTCTCTTCTCCCAASAAAAGTGCACAAGCCGACTGAAAGAGTCTCCCACGAGAGTGAAAAGGAAAGGAGAAATAGGGTCTCCTTGCCGTAAACCTCTTGTGGCCTTAATTTTGCCTCTTCGTTTTCCCTTGACGATAATTGAGAAGTTTGTCGAGGACAAGCAACCCCTTCTCCACATTCTCCACCGTTGATCGAAACCCTTTTTTTCCAACAYCGCATCAATATAATCCCAATCCACCTTGTCGTAAGCTTTCTCATAGTCTAGCTTTAACAAGAACCCTGGCTTTCTTGTGGACTTCCAGTCACCATCAGTCTATGCAGCCACTAAAATAGCATCCAAGATCTGCCTTCCACAAAAKCAGCTTGTTCGTCTGCGATGATGAGAGGAAGGACTATTTTGAGTCTATCCGCCCACACCTTAGCAATGATTTTATAAAGAGAAGATACTAAGCTTATAGGCCTATAGTCACTAACTTCATTTGCTTCTACTTTCTTCGGGATTAGACACACATAAGTCTCATTCGTTCGAAGGTTCACGATTCCATTCATAAAAAACTCTTGGAACACCCTAAGGATGTCGCCCTTCAAGATGTTCCAAGCTTTTTTATAGAACTCAGTTGTCATACCATCCGGACCCGGCGACTTTAAACTTTCCAAACTTTTAACTGCCCTGTGAACTTCATCTTCCGTGAAGGGGGATTCAATCCACTCTTGCCACTGTAAATTCAAAGGAGACCATTCCAAATTTTCAAATATAAGCCTCGTCCCATATGCCCTAGTGTAAAGCTTGATGAAGTAATCTAAGATTTCCCCTTCAATTTCACTATCAGAAGATAGAATCGTACCTTGATCATTAACAAAAGACCAGATAGCTGCTTTATTCCTCTTGGCCGAGACCCATTTATGAAAGAAATGGGAGTTTTCATCTCCGTCCTTAAGCCACTGAAGTTTGCTTTTTTTAKCCCACGTCTGTTGCTYCTTCRAAGTAATCTCCAGCAAATCAACTTTAAGGGAAGTTCCAAGGGAGAACCGAGCAGTAGGTAACAACCCCCTCTCTTCTTCCTTATCTATCTCATCGATTTTGTCTATAATACTTTTCTTTGAAATAGCCACATTTCCAAACTCATCCTTGTTCCACTGGATTAGCTGGATTAGCAAAGGCTTCAAACCTTTCAACTTTTCCATAAAAGCGAAACCTGGAAAACTGTTAGAGGGCAAAGAGTTCCACCATGTCTCAACTTTCTCGAGGAAGTTAGGGTGATCTAACCACATATTTTCAAAGCGGAAAGGGGAAGGACCCCATTTCTGAATACCCAGATTTAATTGTAGGGGGAAGTGATCTGAGGTAGTTCTCGGTTGTCTGAACAAAGTAATATCTTTAAAGTGCTGAATCCATTTCTGAGACAAGAAAAATCTATCAATTCTGGTAGCAATAGGGTTGTTTCTGA